CCCTGTCCTCGCTCCCCGCCCTGGGGACAGGAGGGGAGCGCTGCCCCCGGCCCTCGCATACACCCAGCTCCCGCCAGCCCGCACGGGGGACGGGTCCTTCTTGGTGTCCCCCACTCTCAGCCTGCTGGGCATCACGAACTCCCCCCATCTACCGCATGGATGGTGGCTTTGCCAGGATGTGTCCAGACACGGGTGCCATCTCTCCATAGAATCATAGGATCATTTAGGTTGGAAAAGACCTTTAAGATCATCAAGCCCAACCCTTACCCTACCCTGCCAGCCCACCATGTCCCTAAGCACCTCATCTGCCCGGCTTTTAAATACCTCCAGGGCCGGGGACTCTGCCACTTCCCTGGGCAGCCCCTTCCAGTGCTTGACAGCCCTTTAACCCCAGCCCCCCAGGCTGGATGGGGAGCAGAGCACGGGCACGTTAGGGTGCTGGGACAAACCTCCTGCTAGCTGCTGCAGCTAGGCTTGGGCTCTGCCCAGTTTCAAGCTGGGGGAAAGAGGAGAAAGACAGACCAGCTTTTCCTAAACCTGTGTCGGCCGTTGGTCCAGGCCATGCAGCTGCAGAGTAGACAAGGGCTTGGACACAGGGGGTCCCGCCCCGAGAGCCGCCAGCACTTGCCCTGAGCGCAGCAATGCAGGAGGCTGGACGAGAACACAACCCTGCTTCAGGGGTCCTGTAGATGCAACCCCAGATGTAGGAACAGCACACCCTTAAGCCTTACAAAATCACCCCCTGTTGTTGGTGTGCACTGTTTAGGCTTAGATTTCCTTCCTAGGCATGGGACTTGTCCCTGGGTGACCGAGGGGCTGTTTACCATCCAAGCAACACGGCACGTGCGTGTCAGCATTGCAGCGCTCCTGCAACTCCTACCCCGCTGATGATCTTGTGGTTACCAGCAACAAGTTAACAGCTCTGTTTACTACCCGGGGTATTTTGTTTGACTATTTTGTTTTAATTTGACTAAAGCAAAAGGATGTTTTGATTCTGCTTTGGTTCGGGGGAAAAAATAGGATGTGACTTATATCTGCTTTTGTTTTCATGCCAGCTTCAACCACATACCTATTTTAAAGCTCCCAGGCCTCTTCCTCTTCTTTTTAATCATGCCAAAATCTGAAGTTACACGAGCATCTGTTGAGTGCAGCTTGAAGAGACCCGCAGGGATCCTGTAACACGTTGCTTTTCAGCTGGACAGCATCTAGGGAAGGCAAGTGGGATCTGAAGGAGACAGAAAGGGATCTGCATAACATGGCAAAATAAGTAAGCCGCTGAGCCATGGGGAGAAAAATGCAGAGGGGAGAAATGAAGGAGGTTGTGGCTGGGGGGGTCAGGGTCGGACGCTGGGCTGCCCCCGGAAG